GCAAACATGAATAACAATTGAAGTCACTTCCCTACATAACAAGCAATTCAAAATAGAAAAGGAATAACTTTTATTAACAAGGTAAGAGTTTTCAGGCCATGGCTCCAGTGATTTGCTGAATAGAAGACTTCAAATCTTTGTGCTAAAAGCTTTCAGCCCAGGCATGAGCCACCAGACAGACAAAAAGCAAGTTGCAGGGCAGCTCATCACAGATAATACTGGAAAAAAGAGAATATGTTTATTGTAGACACAGGTTCTTTCCAAAGTGCAGACCAAGATTCATTGTCCCACTAAGCAGGAGTGCCCACATGACCCACTTCACCTTTCAGGATGAATATAAATTCTAGTATGCCTTAAAAAAATCTGTTTCTCAGTAATTTCTTTCCACAGACACTTTTTCCACTATCAAGAACTAGCACCTGCTAACTTTTGTAAGCAAAAAAAAAAAAAGTTCTCATATACTTCAGTGAAAAGGTTATAAATAAGCATAGAGAGAGCATATGTTTAAGTGAAAAGATCAGGGGCTTTTTTTTTGTCTAAAAAACAGGTTATCTAGATTCTCTAGATTTCTCTAGAAACTATCTTTCATAGAATTACTTCTAGTTTTAAAATTTCCCTCAAAAAATTTCAAAAGTAGATAGTTAAAAGCATTAAAGCACTAAAAATATTATTTTTAGTGTGTTCTGTCAGGAAAAAAATGCCAAGAAAGTTAAAGTCACTTTCATGTCTCAGAGATGTTCAATCAATGTCAAGATAGTCACAGAGTACACAGATCACATTCTTTTTCACAATGTCCATAAATCTGCATGAACAAAATTTAAGTCTACCTCAATTTTACCCTATCTTCAAACACAAAAAACATCAATATGTATTTTGTTTCCCTTGATGAATTTCATATTATGGCGTGAAATTTTATCTACCATGCTTGAAAAGCAAAAAAAAATTTAAAACACAACAACCAGCAGCTGGACTGAATTATGTTTCTAATGGAAGTTTCAGCTACATACCAGAAAAACTTCCAGGAAAATTACATTAAAATCAGGCAGTCACCAGCACATACCTACAGACAGACATTGCCAAAGCCATTTACCAGATTGAATAAATTTACATGAATATAGCCTATTTCCTTGTGTTGCTTTCTGCAGCATCCCAGGCTGTGTCCTAACACATTAAATCAAACTGGAGCCCAGTGGAACTGCAGTTCTTGATAGATTTTTGTGTCAATCATGGCTTGAATTTCTCCTCCACAGGGAATTTCCTTGTTCTCAACTGATCAATAAAAGACCATTTGCATTTAGACACTTATGCTGTGAGTATAGCATATGCTGTATTTTAATTCCTGTGGGTTCACCTTCACTTCTCTGCTCTTCTAAGGGTTTGTAGCTTCACTCTTTATGGTCATGGAATCATGGAATGGTTTGGGTTGCAAGGGACCTTACAGATCATCTGGTTCCAACACCTGTCTGATCTTCCTTAATTTATTTTCCTTAATATAAAAAGGCATGAATGATAAACTTCCACATTTCCCAGGTCTTCTTTGTCCCCCATCTGGGAGATCTTTTACACAACTCTGACAGTACCAGAATAAACATCCACACGGCAAAGCATTCAATATCCACCAACTGGATAACCTCACTTAGGTGGTTCTGAAGTGTAAGTGTTCCTATCATGGAATCATTATGGGATACAGAGATGCGCAGGGATGAGCTTTAGGCATCACATCTTTTGTGTTGGTAAGGATGAAAGTTTGACAAGAAAGTCTCACAGATATGTATGCCTGGCAGATTTTTGAATGTAGAGTCTGATGAAGGAATAGAGATGGAAGCAAATTTTAATATAGAACAAAAGAATTGCTGAGCCAGTGTCACTGGATAACCAAGGAGGCAAAGGGTGTGTGAGTTACAAGGGGTTTGCATGGCTTAGAGCAAAGGATAAACCCACCCCAAACAAGAAGATGTTTTTACCAAGCAGAAAGAGAGCACAGGCAAACAAGACAGCAAATGTTGCAAGTAGAAAAAAGGTCTCAGAATTCTCTACTGCAAGAAAACTGAAAAACAACTTCTGGCTTAAACTGTAATGTACTAACTTATAGTGATTGGAGAATAGTGACATGAATATGGTAATGATAGTAGTTATGATGGGCTAGAGATAAAAGTTAAGGTCTAGATTGGTTCTACTGGATGAAGATGCTCAGCAAAGAAAAGTCTATAATGCATTGTGACCAAAAGAAAAGTCTATAATGCATTGTAACCTAAACTCAGGGTCTCCAGGGCTGCCTGCAGCTGGAGCTGACAGCTGTAGGCACAGCTCTGTCACCCACAGCCCTGGACTGCTGTGACATCTTGGATGGAACAAACTGCATTTTGGAGACCTGCCTGGAGTCCCACATCTCTCATTTAGGCTCTTACACTTTTGGTTTTTGCTCTTTGTGTTTTTAGAACACATTTCATAAATCAAACCCGTTTATCACCAAAGTTTTCTACAGCCAACAGAAATTACCCTTCCACACTACAGAAGGAACAAGAATCCTAACAACCATGGACATTCTCATTCATTGCAAAGCATTTTGCATTGATACAGAGCATTTGTTCCACACCTGTCAATGGAAAGCAGGAGTCCCTGGAGTGAATTGCTGCCTTTAGTAGGACACAACACTACCCAGCAAGGCAGGGCAGGAAATGAGGAGCACACCAAGAGGCAGCTGTAAGTGCTGCAGACATTTTTAGGTTGACGATGTAATTATCCCAGCTGGAACCCTGCCAGGAAATCAGCCAGGAAAACACAGCCTCAGTTCATTAATCCAGCTCTTTATGCCACCCAGCTAAACATATCATTTCACATCACACCAGGGCTGCTCTCATTTACACGGCTCGTGGGTGCTAATAATGGTGTGTGGTGTCTCCTGCTCTCCTCATTATGGGATCGTGTTGAACAGGCCCCAAAAAAAGCTGCTCCACTTTTCTGACAGGCTTTTTTTCCCCAGCCTGGAGTGTTGACAAGAGATGAATGTCTGTGTCATTCTGTTTAAGATCTTTTTCCTCCTCTCTGCTTCTTCATTGTTGTTTGGGTTGGTTGTTTTTTTTTTTAAATATAGGTTAAGAAAAGTAAAAGTCTTTTTGTCATGTAAAAAGACAGAAATTCAGTCTGGATAAAGAATGTCTAAGTTTAGCTTGATGTCTCTAACTCAGGAGAAGGCTCCTGAGAAGCTGAGTCAGCATCACAAACCCAAAAGGGAAAATGTTAATAAATTCAGAGAGCACATGGGCACTCATGTCACCACTGAAGATGCTGAGCTACAACTTGACACAACACAAAATAAGTCATGTAAGCAACAGAAACTGAAGTAGTTGACAAATGAAAATTAATGCCAGAACAGCCAGACATAAGCATTAAAAATCTAAAAAACCTACCCAACCAAAACCCCACCATCACAACAACAAACATCCAGCAGAAAAAATAACCCACAAAACCCATAAAACTCCACTAGAATACTGGAATATCATTGTACATAGAGTATACAGCAAATACTTAACTTATTCTGATGTACTGACAATTGGATGTTTGAGAAAACCCAAACCACACAGGAACATGAAAACAGAGTGGAGAGGAGGAAAAAATACCCTCAGGATAGAACAGACTGGAATATTCACTAATCAGTGCTTATATACACAAAATTTAACCCTGCCCTCTCTTATGATCACTTCAGTCCAATTTTCACAAGATAAAAAAAAGCATAGTATGAGTTCTGGGGGAGTAACTCACTGAATATCAGTATTTTACACCCAAATCCTTTAGACTCCCTTTAAAATCTCAGTTGAAGATCTCTCAGTCTTGTTCTAAAAACCCAGGGCTGATGATACTGGCAGATGGTATCTTTAAATGTAGGAGTCACAATGGAATAAACCTGAAAGGTACTTAATTCTGCTGCAATAAAAATAATTACAAAGTCAATGCAACTGAAACATTTTGTCATAGGCATATATTGAAAACATACTTTTCTCCTACCACACAGGTAAATTTGGAAGCACCTCATACCCATTTGATCTTTTGAAAAAAAATTGTCAGACCTTGTGAGTATCCATTTATTTTATCATCAACACCCAGCAAATAATTGTCTTAATGTTGTTATTATTATACTTGTATTTTTAGGCTTTGAAACTATTTTTTTACATTTTTGAAATCACAAGTATTTCTATATTGCTCTTTTATCTGGTTGATAATTGTTAGATTGTTCAGAAACACATGTACCATAATCGTAGTGCTACATTTACACCCACAGGCTTTAAACCACTGCTCAGATTCAGCCAAGTGAAAAAAATCACATCATTTTGTCACACAGCAGAATAAAAACCAGGCTGAAAATGGAACAGTGGGCTTTGGCACTGGGCAAAGCTCTACTCCCATCAAGCATTTTTTCCTGTTAGAACCCTGAGAATTTCAGACTTTCTGTGCTGACAGACACTGACCCCCAGGAGAACACTGCATTTAACCTGAGGCTGTGGAGAAGGCTTCCAAAATGGAATGAGAGAACTGGGATTGTGGGTGTGGAGTTTGAATAGAAGTGTGTAATATCACAGGGTGGGAAACTTAGAGTTTAAGTTTTTAGAATATAGTAATATATATAAAGCAAGATGGAGGTTGTAGGGCAGAGGCTGGTCCTTCCTCTTTACCTTCTTCTCCATGGGTTTGGGTGGTTTTGTGTAATTGGATAAAAAGTCCACATTGCAGGCCATGGGTGGCTGGTTATTGGTTAAAAGTAAAAATAATTCAGGTGTCATTTCTTAATTGGCCAGCTTATCCTTAAAAGACCTTGTAGAGAGAGAGATGGGGCTCCATTTTTACCTTGTTAGTGAAATGCTGCATAACTCACACTCTGTGAGACTGTAACATAGATAAGAACTAATCAAGATTTGAGTCCAAACAAGAAACACCATCTCACACATTTAATCCCAGCCCTGGCAGAAAAGAAGAAAAAAAAAAATCAACATTTTCCCACATACCTTGTTTTCGAACATCATCTACAGCAGCAACCAACTCCTCCTTGAGATCCTGGCTCTCTTTAGCAATTTGGTCTCCTTTTTCCAAGAAGTTCTGAGTGGCCTGCTCCACTGAGGCAGCCAAAACATGAGCCTTCTTCGAGCGCCCTTTCTTCTTGCCAGATGGGCCTTTATTGCTCGTGTTCACCAGCGTCGTTACCTTTGGGCAGGAAAAACAAGGTTTTGTCAGTTTGAACAATTCTCTATTTATAGGAACACCTAATTCAATCCTCACACTATTTTCTGTGCCCTGGAAGGGACGTAGCGGCCACATGTTTTGAATAGATAGAATTGTAAGTATAAAATCCAGCGGCACGTCCCCCAAAAGAGGGTTTTCCTTTTAACCTGTCCTCAGTCTGGGCTAAGCAAATCAAAGCCAAGCAGCAAAAAGAAAAAGATAAGAACCAGGCATGGCAGGGCTGTGGTGCCAAAGCCTCGTTTTTGTTACTTGTTTTCATTTTTTAAAAATGAAGACACCGATAAAATGGAATCTGAACACACAAGGGTCAGAAACCACTCAAAAAGCAATTGTCCCTTGAGATAATGTACTTGCAGTGACATGCAAGTGGTGACAAAAACATTCTGGCCATTTTGCAGACATGAAAGGTACAAAGAGCTCCTCCTGCAAAGATTATACAGGTTAAAACTATTTGCCTTAGCGCTGCTTCACTATATTCCGAATATTTTGTAATAAAACCACAGCAGGCAGCAAAATGATCCTACCAGTATTTAAACAGAAGGAAACTGCTTCCATGTTTGCAGAATCTCCTGAAGGAATTCTTTATTGAGCTGTCAATAAACTGATTAAAAAGCTTAAAATCACAGCCCAGTGTGTACATCCCACAGCTGAGTGCTGGGCAAAGAGGGAATCCTGCATCACTCCAGCAGGACCAGGCTGCTGCTCTGTAAAACTGGAATAAAACTGGAATATTGTAAAAAACTGCTGCTCTGGTAAAACTGGAATAAAACTGGAATATTTATTCCAGTAAAACTGGAATATTGAATTGGGTACCATCAGGTGTTAAATGCACCAAAAAATGAGCAGGGATGCAGTTCTCCCTAACCAGGATACAAACCAGGGCACCTTTAGCATTGTATCAGTGTTCTAAGCCACAAATTTGCTGTAAGAAAATAAATGCCTTTGTAATAAAGACATTTCACTACAAACCAAAAGATTCTAAAACAAGTATGAAAATTCACCGTCCTCTCATCCCTATTAGCAGAAGAGTGAAAAAGTCTGTGGTACAGTTTTGACCAAAAAGCCCCTTTTACCGTGCTCTTTGTGCTACTTTATTTTCTTTCAGCCAGTTTCTTTTTTCCAAATCACATCCTAAAACTACAGACTGTGGAAGAATAAATATATGTACCTATATCTATATATATAATCAGGGCTTGAAAATACCATATACATGGATGTATTGGGAGAAAAAAAAGTAATCCAGGGTCTCCTTTCAGGAAGGAGTCTGCTTGGCCACTGGAATGTAATATTCATCCATCATATGTTTTTTTTCCACTCTTTATATCTAGAAATGATATTTTGTTTATTAGCTTTCCCTTGCAAATATTCCTCATGAAATTTCCTGAAGATCTTTCATAGTTGATCATTGTCATTGGCATCTAGCTATGGACACCTACAGAAATGCAAATAATTCTAACCCACCACTAAACCATAAGAAAAGTTTATCAGAACTTCCCAATGTGGAAATAGTTATAAATATATTGAAATAAAATATTTATTACTATTTTCTTTAGGGCCTTTTTGAAATAAAAGAACTGCTTTTTGTTATGCTGCTTAATATGCAGAAATAGATAACAATCACTTCAATTGTCTACAAGTGCTCAAAATCTTCTCACAGTTAAGAACTTCTGTGTAGAGCAGATGAACATGTGCAAGTCCTAGAGAGGAAGAGGATCCAGCACTGGCAGAAAACCTTTGCCAATGCTCTGAGCTGCTGAGTCCAGAACTAACACAGTCCACAGGAAAATCCAAATTACCACAGAAGATGGAGATTTCTTTTACCACTTCTCATAACCCACATGTAGAAAACAGCACTCCCAAAGTCAATCCTCTTTTTCAAAAGGAAATACTGGTGTATGCTGTTTGAGCCCACTTCATAAATGTTTTGCTGCTCTATTTTTTCTTACTTATTTTGTTTCAAACGTTAAAAAAAAATAAGTTTCCATCATGTCAAAAGGTGAGACTCAAATATAATCATGGAAGAGTGCCAGCTAGAGAACACAAGATCACAAACGGTGCTAGAGGCTTTGTTTGGCTCAATGATTTGTAAACTGGAAGAAAAGGCTTTAAAATTTTAAACAAGATCTACTGGCATGAAATCTAAAAAAAAAAGGAACATCTCACTGCCCTCTGATCAACAGCATTCAGATGAAGCAAGGAGAGAAATTTCCATGTGGGGCTAGGACATTCCCCTGGAAAAGGAATTCTGGATTCCAGTCTCTGCACCAACAGGTTGGGTTCTGGGTAATAATGAGATCTCATAGGAAGAAAATCACTCATAAAAACTGGAATATTGCCATTTTACCCACCTTGTGTCAGCTTCTTTAAATTACATTAAATTATGAGTTAAGGTGCTAAAAAAGCAGTCTCTTCCAAAATTAGAATTCCTGTTCCACAAAGTCAGCTGTACTGGATCAGGGCAAAGGGGAAGAAAGGCTTCTGATACCAGTGACAGAAAAATCCATGGCATCCTATTTTTAAAAATCCAATAACCTATGAATTTATATAAATTGCATATAACAAATGAGGCAAAAATAATAACAGCATTTTATCTTAATAAAATAGCTCAGTTTTTCAGCAGGGCTTTCAAGCTAACTGGTTTATTTTAAATATCTTACCCCACCTAAAGTGATACAAAGGAAAGAATGTCTCTATCAGCTTCTGTTACTAATTAATGCAGAAGTCACCCAAAATTCTGTACAATTATCAAATATATCACTTGATAATTACCATAAGCTCATTTGGCAGCCTTGTAATGATCCTGGCTTTGTGATCACACTAGGGAACCTTGCTCTCTTATTTTATTAAAGAAGCTTCACACAGTCCTAGCACAGATCTCTGCTGGAATAACAGAACTTCACTAATTAATAGTTCAGCCCCATCCTGCATTAAGACCTCCTTACCCAGCTCCAGCAGCACAAAAGAAAGGTGAGGATGTCTTTGCTAAAAGCAGAATATTCTATTAGCATGGATTTCCCTGTGGCAGAGGTCAGGTGTGGGCAGGGAATGGCAGAAGTGAAAGGGGACAGAGCTGGATCACACACTCATCAAATCAATCCCCTCTCAGCAGCTCCAGCTCACACAAGGACACTCCTGGCTCTCTGAACTCACCTGTCTTCCCTACAGATTTCTGAAAGGGGTGGGCCACAAGTTTCAGAGTTGTAATTCTCCCCCTTTGCCTTCCCTTTGCTCAGTATCTGCTCAAATTGCACGAGTCACCCAAGACTTTCCATAACCACATTAAAGACAAGCACATATTGACAACTCTTGAGGCAAATATTATAGACCTTTTTTTTTCTTTTTTTTTATTTTTTAATTATCTTGCTAATCCTTATGTTTTCTCTCTAGTCCCTCACACAAGACAGAATCCTTGGTATTGTGGTTTCAGCACAGATTGGGTGATGAAAGGATTGAGAGCAGCCCTTTGGAGAAAGGCTTGAGGACACTGGTGGCATATGGCACAGGGACTGGACCAGGGGAACTTTAAAGGCCTCTTTCAGCACAAATAATTTCATGATTCTGTGATTCTACACATTTAAATATCAATGTCAGAGGTTGTTGGGAGTTTTTCTGAGAGTGGACAGCATTTATATGTCTCCTTGTTTTTAACAGAGCAAAGCAGGCAAATCAAATACAGCTCTGAAAACATGAAAACAATTCAAATACTTGGCTCTGGTTGTGACAGTTGCAATCAATGTAAAAGAGCTTCTCTGAAGGATGACTAATTATTTACAAAAAAAAAAAAAATTCACTATTCTCCCTTATGCCCCTTGTATTTTCAAGTAAGTATTATTTGTTCTTCCTAGTGGCATTTTTTGGATGTGAACAGCTACAAGTTACTCCTCTCTTCTCATGCACTCATAGGTCACCAAGGTGCTGGAAACACTCAATGTCCTGAGCAAAGACAGCCCTGACATTTCAGTGGAAGGGCCTTTTTTCTTCTGGGTATCAGCTGCCCTTCCACTCCACTGCACCCTCTCATTGCCTCACTGGATGTACAACAGTCACCCCCCGAGCACTCCAAATCCTGCTGCTTCCAAAAGAAGTTTGTTGCATCAAAGGAAAAAAAAAAATAAACCAATACAACTGTCTGGAAACACAAAACATCTTTTTTTGAACTGTCTCATGGCTGGGTTTTTTGGTTTTTTGTTTGGTTTCCTTTGGCAGAAGAGACCTTTCAAAACACCTGGAGAGAGAAGCAGATTGTGTTGGGGAAGATCTAATTTGATTCCCTGCTCCAAATGAGGTGGAGAACAGACCTGAGCACTGTGTTTGTGACCTTCCCTTGGACCATCCAGCAGCACAGCAAACACAGGGAGGGGATTTTGCCATACAAATTCCTGGCTCTGCACACCAAAGACTCAAGTTATGCTGTGGCTCTCAGCAGCAGCTCATTAGCTGATCCCACTCCAACTGCAAGGTGTTATTGAGCAAAGCACAGGAGAAAATGCTTTCAACAACTACTTCTCATTCACATACAAAACAGAAAAGCAACTACACTGGATTTTTTCCACATTTCTGCAGAGAAGAAGATAACTTGCTGGGTTTTTTTCCCATATTTGTGCTTATTTTCTAGTGCCACACAAAAAGAAGAGTATTTTTCCCCTATTACACCAATATGTGTGAACACAGATGTTCTGCTGAGCACGATTCAGTCTGTAACAAAGCTCCATTTTTTGATAATAACTGTTCTTCAATTTTCCCTATCAACTTGAGTAATTTGCCACTGTCCTTACCCCATAAATCATAACAGCTTACATAATTAACTCTTGTAATTATCCCCGCACGATTAGCACCAGCTGTCTACCTAATTCATAGAACTGAAATTCTCTTTCTATTCTATGTGGTATTTGGATTCTCATTGATGAACAGAACTTTGCCCATCCACGTTGAATTCCAGTGGTTTAACCCAGCTTTTTGTA